TGACACAGAAACAGGCACATACACAGACACAGAAACAGGCACAGACACAGACTCAGAAACAGACTCAGACTCAGACTCAGACTCAGACTCAGACTCAGACTCAGACTCAGACTCAGAACAGACACAGACACAGACATAGACTCAGACTCAGACTCAGACTCAGACTTAGACTCAGACTCAGACACAGACACAGACACAGACACAGGCACAGGCACAGACACAGACACATACAGAAGCACATCCGCTCGTACCACCTTAGGCGCCTGCCATCCGCAAGCGCAATGCCTCCGACTACCCCACTCTCTCAACATCTGCTCCACCAATAGATACACATTCACGAATTGATATACACACACGAATGAACGAATGCATATACACACACCAATGCACCCACATATGCACTTCCAACTTCGGGTGAGTACACATATATAGACTGCAATGCCTGTACTTAGCTGCGTACATGCCCGTGGATGGGCTAATGCGTGCACCGACATTCATTACAAGAGGGAGGAAATGAACCACGAATCGTGATCGTAACTATTACACCTGTCCCCTGGTCAACATAAAGATTAAAAAACAACCCAAAACAAAAATGATTCTTTGCGTTGTGTCTTGATTTTTTTCAGAGACAAACAGAAGGAGAAAACTTAACATAAACCTCTACGCACAGTCATCTACACACGACCACTATAGCCATGGACAGCTTTATACCTACAGAGTGAGTACACATGTACACAAACACAACACCCATCCTACATGATAAAATACACTAGACACAGATGAAAGTACGCATATACACCAACACAACATCCGGCCTACATGGCAAAATACACCACACACAGATGAAAGAACACATATGCACAACCACAACACCCATCCCACATGACAAACTACAACACACACAGATGTATGAACACAGAACACAGCCACAACACCCATTCCACATGACAAAACACACCACACACAACACCCACAGCCCTATGCATACGTACCCCTTTGCGCGGCTTCACATGCACCGTGTGTGTAGCGTGCACGCGTCGCAGCACAGCGCCTGTGAGCTCCACATGCGGTGGGGTGTACGTGGCAATGGCCGAGAGCATCGCCTGGCGCAGACTGTGCCAGTGCGTGCGATGGAGTGGTCTCGTCTGTGCATGAGCGACCGTTCCTGTGTGGAGGTAGGATTTGTGATGTGTATAGGCACGTGTGTGCGTATGTGGGTGTGTGTATGTGTATATTGCATGTGTGTAGGTAAGATTTGTGATGTGTTCAGACACGTATGGGTGTATGTGTGGGTGTGTATGTGAGTGCAGGTGTGTGGGTATGTAAATTTCTATGCTGTATTCATACGTACAAGTGCGTGGGTGTGTGAGCAAGCGGTCTGTTAAGGACATCTAGTTATGTAGTCAGGTGTACGTATGTCTTAATAATGTTTACAGTACAAGAGTACGAGATTCTGTGCATATACAATCGCACACAGATATACCCACACACATGGAAACTCGTAAATGCCGTATACTTCCATACTCGTAGCGTTGTACCTACCTTTTCGCGTGATATGCACACCTATGTAGCAACTCCGTGTATATATACATATATGCACACCCTCAAGTCAATACATGTCGCCCACAATTCGAAGCAGGAACCTAAAACCCTACACCCTAAACCCTAAAAAACCCTGATAACTCCCTCACACACCTTCGTTGCCTATCTCTTCTCCGAGCATCAGCTGCTCCCTTGAATCTGTGCTTGCGCCGGAGCGGTCATGTGTGCGTGCGTGCGTGTGTGTGTGTCTACCATTGTGGCCATGTCCCACATACTCCTCGTTCATCCTAAGTATGTCTCTGGCAAATCCCATAACCCCCTTACTGGCATCCGCCCCAGACGCCGTCTCTTCCGTGTGTGTTCCCTTGGCTGCGTGTCCTGTGTGCCTGTCGTCGTGTGTGGCTGCTGTGGGCAGTGCCTGTGCACTACTATCCGTTCGCGGCCTCTTGACACTGACACGTGTCAGGCGTGTCTGTTCCTGTACGGTCTTGTGTGTCTGCGGGGGATCGTACCTCTCACACCACTCGCGCGCCTGAGCCACTACGATTTCCCATAGGTCACACATGTGCGTGTGCGTACTCTCCCGTGGGTGGGCGGGTGTGTCTGTGTGTGCACGTACACGGCTCTGTGTAGTATGCCCATACCCTGCATCACCCCCCACTATGCCATCCCCCGCTACGCCACCCTTCGGTACGTGTGCCTCCATGACACACACCAAGTACACGCCACACCACACCAGACGCATCTCGTCCAGCCCACACTGCATGCTCTCACGCACCCCCAGATACGTATGGCACACCCTGGCTACTTGGTGCAGCATCAGCAGACTGAGCGACGGCAGCGCAGCCCGCGCTTCAGCCGACAGTTGCGGAGCTCCCGCGATACGGTGCGACTGATTGCGCACACCACTGTCGCCCTCCGCCGATGGGCCTGTCTCTGTGGCTCTGGCTGTGGAAGTATCTCTCGGCGTGTGTGTGGGTGTATGTGTAGATGTATGGGTGTGTGTGGGTGTATGTGTAGATGTATGGGTATGTGTGGGTGTATGTGTAGATGTATGGGTGTGTGTGGGTGTATGTGTATATGTATGGGTGTATGTGGGTGTGGCTGCGTCTGCGCTATTTTGCGTATCGCGCTGGGCCACATCCCGAGCCTCGGGCAACAACCGCCGCAGTTTGAGGAACCCAAAGGCAATTTTGGTGAAAGTTCGGTACACCCTGGCGTGGGTGCAGGGCTGAGAGTGCTCAGAATATAGCGACGAGACCCGCTGCAACTCGCTGTAATAGTGAACGTAAAACTTGAACGTGAATGTGAACGTAAACGTGAAAGGTGTCGTTGATTGAGAATAGGTACAGGTGGATGTTTTACGAGCGGTGTATGTACAAGTGTGTTACGAGACTGAGAAGCGGACTAGCGTTGTTGCGCGTGCCGATGAGGCATACGTCTATGTATATGGCATCTCGACATGTGTACTTCAAGAAGATAAACCAGCGTAGAGGACAATATATATATATATATATATATATATAACACACACACATACACACACACATCTATATATATATATATATGCCCCTACCGTGGGTGTCTACAAATATATAGAGAGTATCTAGATCAATGGACAGAACATACACAGCTTAAGGGTTGCTTGAGACCACCTGACGGGCACCAGCATGCCTTTAGAGCTCCTGGTGTACTGTTCGATATGGGGTCATACACATAGACAAAGTACACCTTAGAATCCCACGGTCGTACGAACATGTACCTTTCGTCACCACACGTACATGCGTGGTTCAAAGTTACAATACAATACTTGATTCTTCCCCCACCCCTCGTCCAAATCTATCACAGGGTAACTTCTCCTTTGATGTAGGCGCCGTAGCGATGGAAGAAACCTAAAAGTTCCATCGCGTATGAAAGCACACGTGTTGATTCACATATGTAGATAATAT